AGATCATTAGAATTAATTGGAAGTTGTTCAATAAGATAATGAACTTCTCTCTCATCATCTAGATATTCATCATGTGAGAATTCTTGCGGAGGAAAATGATCATTATTCAATTCAACTGGAAGAATTTCCGTTTTACACCAACAATTTCTAATTGTTTCACTTGATACTTCATCCCATGCTGATGCACAGTAATCTATTGCTTTTTTTATATTGACTGGAACCAGTTCTGACTGAGTCTTAAGTGCAAATTCATATGCGTCTAAACAGTTTTGAATGAGAAAACATCTATATTTGGGCTAAATAAATAAATATTTTGTTAGTGTATAATATGTTACAGACTTGTCAACTAATTTAGAACACCTTAAAACAAGAATGAACTACTCTTTTTTCTTTTTTTATTACTTTTTTTTTTATCTTTTTATTATTTTTTTTTTCTATCTTTTTTTTTTAGAATAAGAATATTCTTGATAATGGTATACAAAATTAATTAGCAAACCTGTAATACTGTACTTTAAAAGAATTAATTATCCCAGCATCCATCGGTTGAAGATGGGCTGTGGTATATTTAGGCAAGGGCTCTATTTTTATATTAGTTAACACTATGTTGTCTTCAAGATCATGAGTTGGTGCATTATCAATTAAAAGTAATATTTGGCGATTTTTAAGACGCATCATTGAATTCAAATCTTTTATATAATGTTGCCAAATAGATTTTTGCATCCATGCAGTCTTGTTTCAGAAATACTCAACTGGTAATTTTTTTTTATCGATATTTCTAAGCACATGTGGGTTTTTATACTTATGGATGAACAATGGTTTTAATTTTTCTGTTCCTGTTGTGTTAGAAGTTAATAAAATTGTAACCCTTTCTTTTGCTTTTTTTGTTCCTGAAACTGGACCTGTTGCTAATATACGGGAAGGCTCTATCTGGTAATACAAACTAGTTTCATCACAATTGAAGACATCCTCAAGCTGATAAGGTTGAATAACACTTTGTAGTTTACTTCTAAATTCGGGTAATTCTTCCAAAGGTGCACTATCAGCTTCACCTTGCCTTTTATACTCTCTAATGTTGTGTCTTTTCTTAAAGTTATGTAACCAACTATTTGAAGCATTAAATTTATCTTCATTCAGTAATGTTGCAAATTCTTTTGCCTTATTTTGGATAAGATAGCCTGTTAATGTTTGCTTATTGCCTATAACATGTTCTACCCAAAGTGCCACTGCCGATTCAATGTCAACAAAAACAGGTTTTTTGCTTCTCTTATTTGTCGCTTCTTTTGAATCTAAATTGATCGATAACCAATAATCTGACTTTGCTAAAATTTCACTACATGTTGATTCACTGATACCATATTAAGCAGCAAGGTCTCGATTTTTAATACTAGGTTCGTTCTTTTTTTGAAAACATAAATCATATCTTTGTTTGTTGGTTAAAGTAACACTTCTTTTCTTTTGAGCTTCGCTATTACTATTATTGTTTTGTCGCTTATTTGTACCAGTATCCATTACTGCACTTGTTAAATGAAAGACGTGAAAATTTCAACTTTTTTTTATATTATCCCTTAAACCGTCCAGTTTTAGCAGGCAAATTTGCCTGCTTAAATTTTATAAATTCATATCTGATCTAT